TGTTGTATTTAGGTGCCCTAGCGGCAATCAAATACCTATGTAACTGTACACTTTATCATGAATGAAAGGCTTTGAAGTATGTTTTATATCTCGTGTAACATAACATAGCTTCAGTCCATAGACGATAGCGCTTCAGTAACATAGATGAGGACTACGATGTTCTGATTATGAGACTGTTACTTCTTGACGAAGGCTATGTCTAAAATGTCCCTAGTCGCACTTTATGATAATACGGACGTCATAACGTATCAAGACTAGTACGTACGAGATGAGATAGTTGCGTCTCATAGACTATATGTATTGTGATATCTTAATCTGTACGTAGGTGCATATTATATCGATAATATGTGACTGGATTGACCCATCTTGAGAATACTGCATGGATCTACAGTAATGTGTTTATCAGTATTCTCAAATCGACCTTGTTATAACTATCCTTAGACTTGAAGTTATTACATTCTCTGGTATGTGGGGCCGTATGCTTTGATTCATAACTAATGCTATCTGAAATACTTGAAGACGTACAGTTATGCGTTGGGTATGCCGCTAAGCATATTTAGAGATGTGAATAACAGATACAGGATCTGTCCCTTCTACTGTATAGAAGTATAATGTCAATGGGCCCACTGAATAGTAGGACTTGGGAAAGTGCATGGTCATGCCCAGATATGTCGCTATCTAGAGACTGATAAATATCTGATCCCTGCCAGTCTACTTGAAATTCAGTAACAGCTGATTTAACTATACAAGGATACACATCCCATGCCTTGTGTTAAATCATGACATTTAGGACAGAAGGATAATAGTTATAGAACGTCTTGTGTCGTAGAAGGTATTGATGAGATGAACGTCTTTTTCATAATCTGGGGGTAATAATGTATTGCTAGATACCGCTTATTATTTATGGTATTAATTTTATTAATATCATTGCCAGTGTTATGGATACCTAAAGGGTCACACACTTAGGACTTGTAAGGGAGTAGTATACTACACTAGTGGGAGTAATATTAAATATATAGTTGTGATAATTTTATATATATATGTATTTCGAAAATACATATGTATTTTAAAATTATATTTTGTTTGTGTCATTTTAATTATATGATAATTATATTTTGACAAAACAAATTTTATT